TTCCCCCCCTTGGGGAAGTGTAGAGGATACACAGAAGTGATAAACTGCAGAATCAATGTAAACCCCTATATGGTGTGGGTCTGTGGGTGGGTGCTATATCTGACTCAAACTGGGATCCCTTTCTTCAAGGAGGAGGGAACTTGAGTTTTCAAGTCGTCCTTTTTTGAATACTCCAAGCTTTATCATAATACAACAAAAACACAGAGTCCTGTACCTTTGATTTAGTAACAAACACATGCAACTACAGTGGTACCTCAGGTTAAGTACTTAATTCGTTCCAGAGGTCCGTTCTTAACCTGAAACTGTTCTTAACCTGAAGACCACTTTAGCTAATGGGGCCTCCTACTGCTGCTGCACCGCCGGAGCACGATTTCTGTTCTTATCCTGAAACAAAGTTCTTAACGAAAGCACTATTTCTAGATTAGCAGAGTCTGTAACCTGAAGCATATGTAACCTGAAGCGTATGTAACCCAAGGTACCACTGTAGTTTTGCTTAGCAGAGTGTCCCATAATTATATTACACTATTACCATAGTAACATGAAACCAGAGGAACTTTTACCAACAAAAACGGATAACCAGGACAAAAAAATATATGCCATACCCACATCTAGAAAAAATCAGAAGGGGTGGTTAACATCTCCCCCCCCCCCCACCAAGCGAAGCCTGTTTCTGAAAGGAGAGAGAGAGAGCAAGAAATAAGACTGCATGCACGAGCCTCTGTGAAATCAACTGCAATGCGTAAATTACTAGTTAATCCCAACAGTCTATATCGGGAAGGCAGAATGCTTTACATTTGAAAAGACTAGGTGTTAGCTGTCATTTTTGTACTAATAAGTCAGGATTATTCATTATAGTGGAGCATATTTGACAAGAGACACTTTGTTAAGAATGTAGAAGGTTGGTGTCAGATCTAAAAACCGATTCAAACATTGTATTTCCCCCAAGCATGCCTTCTTCCCTCTACACTTCCTTACGAGAGAGAACAAGCAAATCACTGTCCAGCTGTTTCCTTTCCTGCTAGCTCCAGCAGTGGCTTCCCTTCCTTCTCCAAACTGTTGGGCATGAGAAGCTGCTGCTCTTCTGAGGGATAACAAGTGAGGGAGAAGGACAAGCATGGCCACCAACTTGGATGACTTTAAAAGAGAATTAGGCAAATTCACAAAGAATAAGCCTATCTAGCCCCAATAGCTGTGTTCTGCTTCCATTGTTATCACTCAGTGGTACAAGTTCAATCCCTGGCATCTCCAGGTAGGACTGCTAGAAACTTTGGAGAGCCATTGTCAGTCAGTGTAGACCATACTGAGCTGGATGGACCACTTGCCTGATCTGTATAAGGCACCTTCCTATGTTTCTATAGTTTTTATATAGTTGTGGGGATCACAAGGGTGGATGGTGCTGTTGCACTCAGATGCTGCTTGCAGGCCTCTCATAGGCTACTTGGCCATTGTGAAAAGAGGATGCTGGACTTGATAGGCCTTTGGCTTGATCCAGGGCTCTTCCTATGCTATATTCTTATGTTCTAAGCATGGATAGAAGGACAGATTGTGAAGCTGAGGCTCCAGTACTTTGGCCACCTCATGAGAAGACTCCCTGGAAAAGACCCTGATGTTGGGAAAGATGGAGGGCACAAGGAGAAGGGGATGACAGAGGACGAGATGGTTGGATAGTGTCTTCGAAGCTACCAGCATGAGTTTGACCAAGCTGCGGGAGGCAGTGGAAGACAGAAGTGCCTGGCGTGCTTTGGTCCATGGGGTCACGAAGAGTTGGACATGACTAAACGACTAAACAACAACAAAGCATGGATAACATGTGAACCAGCCCTTAAGGGAGAACTGAAGGGTTTTCTAAGCATTCATCCTAAACATGTTGGGGGCAGGAAGTGTGGGTGGATGGGCAGGGAATGCATTTCCCCAAACCTGTATCTGATAAAGTGGGCTCTTGCCTGTGAAAGCTTATACCACAGAAAATCTGCCAGTCTTTAAGGCTCCATAAGGCTAAATAACCTGGCTCTTTTCAATTCTGTTATCATTCTCAAAGTCTTTGGGAACAGGGCTGTTGGAAAACAAAATTCGTGAATACAATGTGAGGCCCAAAAGTGTATTTAAGTTCAAGACAATTCTCTGCCCGATGTCTTTTAACCTTGGTCTGGGAATAAACCAATCCATGAGAAATGTCACACTAACAAGACAAATATACTTATGAAATTCAAATCCCTGCAGGAGGCAACTTGTGGAACAAGGGTCATAGATATTTCTTAAATGTTATCACAATGTCAAAACAGGATGGTACGGAGCTCCAGTGCTCAAGAATAATAAAGAACTACCTTGCAAGTTGTTGGAAATGCCAGAAATATAGATATCTATCATATCTGAAGGTAATGCACCACTGCAAAGAAATATTGGTGGACCGCTAGTTACAGAATGCCATGGGACACTCTACTCCCCTCCCCTTTTGAACCATATAAATGGGTCGTTATTGTTTTTGCCAACATTTAACAGGTGAAATCAGCCTTCACCAACCTTATTTCCTCCATGTTTTAGACTACAACTCCCATCAGCCCCAACCAGCTTGTGTGGGCCGGGGTTGATGGGAGATGTAGTTCAAATACGACGGCCAGAATTCTATATGAAATGCGTAAGAGATTACGAGCAATTGATTAGACACAGAGTGGGATTTTGGAAACACTAACACACCATATAAGGAGGAGGAAAAGACAATGGCTGGGAAAAAGTTATGGCTAACTGGATGTTTTATTGATTTCTGTAAAAAGAGTCTGTCTCAACAAAACATATACAGCTATGCTTCTCACTATGCTGATTTTAAAAATACAGATACATTGAGCAAATCTAAGTGTAATGCATTTGAAATGTACTTTATGATCATTATTACTATTTCTTCTTTATATTATTTATGGTGTATTTGACACACCCTCTTTCTAAATTCACATTATTTGATTTTTTTTTTGGGGGGGGGCACCTTTTCTGTAGCACTTTTTGCTGTTAGGTCTTTGTTTTGTTAAAGGGGGAAAATGAATAAAATCCTGGTACTTAAAAAGCTATCTTCTTTCGTTTGACCTTCATTTTTTGCAGTTGTCCCCTTGCTGAAATTGGCATAGCACAAACAGTAGCTTCTAGGCCAAAGAGTGCACAGCTCTCATTGCAGATGGAAGCAAAGACTGCACAATCCACCCCTACATTCTTTATGAACACTAGCGGCTTCTGTCAACAAAAACCAGTGGCCTTTCCAGCTCGTGGCTTCCCTTATTCTTCCATAGTAGCCTTTTCAATTGACTCTTTGGGGGCTTTGTACTGCAGGCTACAGATAACTCAGAACCCTGAATATAAAAGACTGCCGGGATACAAAACAACACTGGATGCAAGAAGTCTCTAAGGAGCGAGCGTCATTATACACATTCTCCTTCATATCAAATTCTGGAAGGCGTTCCTGAAATGAGGTACCTATTGATATCCAAGGTGTGCACAAAACATTTGGAGCCTCTTTCACAGCAACGTTGGTCAATTTATTTCCACCAGACTGCCCTTTCAAGGGTCAAAACCCACTTCCTCTCTCTTCAACATCTCTGTTATGGAAGATGGACTTGGAAAATTGTTTACTTACCTCAAAGTGGGTTGTTGCTGTCATCCAGAGGTCAGGATTCACATGGAACCCGGTCTAGCATTCTCCCTGCTTGTTAAGGGAGGGGAACTTGTGGTCCAACAGATGCTACTTGCTTTCTGGGCCCTTCCAACCTGGTAGGCAGAATCAGACACTGTCCCATTCTACCCCAACACTAATTTTGAGCACCTAGGACAGGCCACGCCATGTGTTTCAGTGTAGACTACGTCTCAGGCATCATATGGGTTTTGAAGCGAAAAGTGGGGATGCCATTTCTAAGATGGTGGTTGCCCTTTGTGGTTTTTATTACTTGATACATATCTGCACCCCAATTAATTAGGGGAACCTTTATTGTTGTTCAAAAGTTTTAAAACCTGATAAATTTAATCAATTGAACTATCTATCCACCTTGATTGAATAATCTAACCCGTTCAGTTAAACACTGCAGCCCTTCACTTTAGCAACGAACTCCTTGGATAGTTTTCATAAAGTCATACATTTTAGCTTCCCCCAACCCTCTTCATCTTCAGTATGAGGCCATGGTGAAATAGCGCTTCACTTAAGTTACTGCCGATCTTGCCCAGTGAGATGATCCAAGCAACTTCATTGACTTCTATCCTACCAGATACCACTTCGTGCTTTTTCACTGTCACCACTCAGAGTTATATGTAACTCCAAGGATACAGTCTTGGCTTTACCAAATCTCCTAGTAAAGCATGGTAAAGAACAAATAATCTCATTTCAGCTTTTTGGTAGGTGGTTCTAAGCAAGACACTCAATACAGATAGTATTCAGAGAGACAGAAATAGTGGAAATAACCCTCAAGGTCACTACAGATAGATGGATATGGATAGATTTGGTGGGGGAGAAGACAACCACCCTCCTCCATAAAAGAGTGTCTTCTGATCTTCTCATGTGCCATATCTTGACCATGCAGGATGTAATGCCACCACAGACTCAGAAACAACCCTCCCATCATAATTAAAGTTGACATAGGAGCTGGCTTCATTATGAAGAATACAGGAGGCCCTGGCAGCATTTCCTTGCCACATTAAGAACTGTATCCTCAGCGCTGACTGGGGCATATATGAAGGAATTATGTAACCCAAAGGAGATTCCTGCAGATGTACAGGAGCAAATTTGCACTGACACATCCCAGGATCCATGAGCAAGGAGTTACTGGTATGGATCTTCCGTCTCCTGAAGAAACAGCAACCAGTAATGCTCCAGAATGTTTGGCTAATCTTCTATTTTTATGATTCTTAATGCTCAGAAATGAAACTTTTCCTCTTTTTGCAATTTCCCCAAAATGCAGCCCTCTTGGGTCTTGAAGAATACCAGCTGAAATCAGTATCGTTTTGACAAATCACTCTGCAGTCTTCAGCACTTATTCAGCATTCATTTTCTTTATTATGCAAACCTGGGTTGGTACTAATAAATCTTACATTGCTTTCTGCCACAAGAGTACAGTTTCATACTCTAAAATGGGTTGACTTTTTTTTCATCAGAAGTCAATACAGCTGCAATTCAACAACATCAAAAAGACTTTTCCAACTAAAGTTAACTTTATTTAAATTGGGGACCACCAAGCATATCCCACTCATTTCTGTTTATCACATCTTCCACTTAGATATTCAATGTTTGCTATGCATTATAAATCAGATGAAGCATTTTGGTAATAAGGTACAAAAACAAAATTGTCTTCTGCACACAAATGCTGCAATTTTATCACAGGAAGCAGATGAACCAAGCAAAGACTCTTGAAGAAATGTAATGTTGGTAAGCAGATACTATCAGAAGCTGCTTATCTTCGTAGCAAACGTTAGCCTTACGTGAATCCCACTTGAATTCATTTAATTAAGAAGCTGTAAAGAACAAAAAAATATGATTAAATTCAAGGGGGAGGGGAGTGCACATGTAGCTTGGCTTCTTGCTCTTGGAAATGAGATTTATCACCCTTTTTTGGGGTGTGTATGCTTGTGTGTTATACATAGTAACACACAAGTCCAAAAAAGAGCCCTGCTTGATGAGACCACAGTCATATCTGGTCTAGCATTCTCTTCACAGAGTGGTCAACCAGATTCCTATGGAAGCTCGCAAACAAGATACAATTGCAACAGTACCCTCTCATGTTCCTGTTCCTTAGCACCTCAATTCCCAGATCCCAACACTGGAGGTAATATATAATAGTTGACTGGTAGCTTATCCTCCATGAATATGTCTAATCCCCCTTTAAAGCAGCTATCACTGAGGGAGCAAATTCCATAGGGTTGCATCCTATGGTAGCTTTTGCTAGCAAAAACATTCCTTATATAGGGTGAGGCACCAGATTTTCACCACTCCCCAGTATCCATTGTAGCCTTATGTGCCCTATCCCACCCTTCCAGGAGGTCCTCCAATCCTTCAGAGCTCTTGGGAGGCACAGGGTGGCTGCATGGGGTTGGGAATTAGTGAAAATCAGGTGCGCTTCCACTGGCAGAAAGTCACAACTGGATACAACCCATTGTTTAACCATGCTTTCTGTGAATTGCTTCCTTTTGTCTATTCTGAATCTCCCACCATTCATATCCATCCATTCACAGATTGATTCCTTTATTGAGGGTAAAATATTGTTAGGTCTTGACAGTGTTGCACCCAGATCCACTCTGAGAGCATCTATAAATGTTATCTACATTTGTGCATATTTCCTTCCACATAGACTTGACTGTAGATCTTAAAACTCTCTCTCCCTCTTCCCCTTCAAAAAGTAAAGTGCAGCAGTTCCATTTAAACTCCTTCTCTGTCCTTGAAAATCCCCTGCTGAGACATGCATATGGGGAAAAAGAGGTCCCTGGAGAGCAGTGTAATATTAATGCCAGGAAAGGCCAGACAAGTTTCATAATTTCACCCTGAAGAGATCAGAAAGTGGCTCTGGAAAGCTGGCTATTCATCCCCAGTGAGATACACTTACAAGACCATGCCATGCAATTTGCATATCTGTAAACTTGTAAAAAGAAATGGCAGCCCCAAGGCATGTGGGAGGGATGAATAAAAGATAAAAATTTCCAAGCAATTTCTTTCCCTTTATACGATCATGTGATTGTGCATAGGGAAAATTAGCTGCAGGCTCTGTTTAACTGAAGTTAACAGGTGGGCATTGTGCAGCACTTTAAACAGACTTCAGTAAAACAGAACCTCCAGCTAATCTATCAAATGCTTTAACTAAATGGAATGCTGATGTGATCGGGCAGTTAAATTTAATGGCTGTGTTTTCCATTAACCAAAAAAGGAGTGATTTAATGAGCACAAGTACTAATGGGCATGGACTGCTACCTCCAAGGTGTAGGTGTGTGTGTGTGTGTGTGTGTGTGTGTGTGTGTGTGTAAATAAATGGCAGTAATGGATACCTGCAGGAAGAGCAAATGACACATGCATAACAATTGTAGCATTGGGAATTCAAAAAATGGAAATCAGAAAAACTAATCCACCGGCTCCATTCCACAACCAAAGAAGATTTCCCACCTTCGCCTCAAATCCAGAGTGAAATAGAGGGAGAGACATTAAGAAGCACCAGTGAAGCAGTGGTGCTGCAGTCCGATTTCCAAGTTAACTGCTTATAAATAGCACGTTTGCCAAAATGTCAGGATTGGCTGCAGCTTCCAGGGTGGCAAATCTAGATTGGCTGGCATGCAATGTATGCAAAGGGTCTAGCTCTTAATCCTAGTGTGATCCGATGCGTACACATGGGTTTTGCATCTCAAGAGCATGTGCCATTTGCTTTGGGTTTGTTGTGTGACGTGATATTTTCCGAGTAATCATTTAATAGTTCATGCTTGAGCTATGGTGTCATTATATAAACATTACAAATCTGAAGTGAGTTTCTGGGTATGAATTTTTCACATTTCTAATGCAGCACAAGATATTTGCTCCTCTCTTCTATTCATCTGTGGTTGGCCTGGCTCTTTCCTCCACCTTTGGGCCCAGCACTCAGCTGCATGCGGGGAGATGAAAGTTGGTTTGTGTGGCTTTAACAATGAGTCTCCCACACCTTTCCATTGAGAAGAATCTGACCACAACCGTCGACTTTGGTCCAGCAATGATTACATATTTCTACTGATTATTTATGGGCAGTCTATTTATTCCTCTGCCTTCCTAAGCAGCCTAACCTCCTTGCGCATGCACCTGGATAAACTGGTATCAAGTTCACACATCACAATCTCTGATCAGTCCAGTAGCAATAATCATGCCATTCTCCTCCCCTCCCCCAAAATAATTCTGTGTCTATAAACAGCAAAGGTCTGTCAACGTATACCGCTATCTGTTTGTGGTATTCTCAAATATTCTAACAAGAGTGATGCAGTCAAAGGATACATGCAACGAACAAATCTTAAATATTTGATTAGTCAATTTCAAAGTACTGTGCCCCATTTTTGGCACCCTAGAAGCACATAACTGAGAATGCAATTTCAGAAAAGCTGGATTTCCCCCCCCCCTCAGGGAAATTACCAGTAAGTCCAACATCCGTTTTAGCTTGCACTAATTGATTATATGGACTGAAGATCTGATTACATATGGCAGTGGAAAATCCACGTTCTTACTCAATCATACAGAAAGTGGAGAGGAGGGGTACGATTTGAAGGGCAAAGGTCTTTGCTTTCTGTTGCTGACCTCTTCATGTGATTTGATGCCTTCCTCTACCACCACAATGGTGAAAAACTTCCTTCTTCTTTATAAGAAAATTAATATTTTGAGCATTCTATTACTGTCATGACCCGAGGATGATGCAGTGTGCAGTGGACAATTCTGATGAAGATAAGCTTCTGCCTTCTTCCTTGTAGGAAGAACTGCTAGTAGTTTATTCAGGGCCCTCAAGTACTGCAGTACTGCTATCACCCCAACCATAAACGCAAAACAGCCTTTGGCCTCCCAGGCAGTTCCTCCAAAGAGGCGACATCAACCACAGCTTACAGCTGACTCTAGTTCCCTCAAGAGACCATATTCTTGGTCTGAGCAACAAGAGTGACTGATTTTGCTAACTTCAGCCAAGAAGCCCTCCCACCCCAGGGTCATCTTCAAAGTTTTAAAGCCACAGGTGGGTTTTTTTTTGGGGGGGGCTCAGTTTACATATGGATTACTGCCTTCAATCCTCAACTGGGAAGGGTTCAATCTATCTTTTTAAAGAAAGGTTTTGTACATATGATTCTATGTGAAAAATGCAACTTTATATCATGAAGTGGGCATATGAATGTAAAACTTGAATAAATGCCCTGAAATAATGTCTGCACTTGCATTTTTCCCTCTGCCCTTCTAGTTATAGCACTTATTGGCCTCAGCCAGGGAATGCTGGTCATGAAAAAGGAGATACTTATGCTGGGCTTCTCCATTGAGGTTTTGGGTATTATAACATAAAGGAGATTCAACTTTCTGTTATCCAGAGGCTAACAGGCCTATATTTATACCATCTGAGAACTGCAGTCATGCTATCCACTATTCTTAAATAACATTCCAAATTATGGAATTGCCAGAGCTCCATAGTTACAGACTATTTACAAAACTAGGAGAGCACAATGTCTTGCTTTCTTTTTTTCTTTTTACTTACTACTTAAGTAAGTAAGATTCAGGGATGTCTTTGTTACTGTGGAATTTGAGAAACAGAATATGTGAACCACATCCTTTTATATGAAATTTATGAATTTATGAAATTCTAGGATCTTACTGTTTAAGTGATTCCGCTTATGTTACTGAACAGGTAGCTATCTCCCCCCCACCTGCCTTAATCTCAATACAAATTAGGAAGCAGATGGTAAAAGACATTTCCTGTTGACACTTCTGGAGCTAACTTAGTAGGGGAGTGCTTTTAGCCAGCAGGGCTCCCTTAGAACTGTCCAAGGTACTGTACTTGTCTGCTCTCAGCTTTGATAGGACACTATCTAATTCTCCTGTAGCCTCAAGCTCTCAGGCTGGTACAAAATCTTGTGTAAGCAACCATATTTAGTATGACTGAAGCTCTTCAAATATAGAGATTCCTGGGTTAGATTTGCATCTCAGAATTCTCACTGCATCCTTATTTTTAGTAAAGGAAAATGTTGCTCACAGAGCCTACTGCTGGTTGCAGAGTCCCATTTGGAAATATTGTTCTGAATGTCAGGGAAGAGCTGGGGCACATGCTCTCAGGGGATGTTTGGTCCTGCTCCTTTCCCAATGTGTGACTAAAATTGGGGGAAATGAACCTGTGGTCCTACATATGTTGTTGGACTCCCATCAGCTCCAGCCAGTATGGCCAGTGGTCAGGGAAGATGGGAATTCTAATCCAAACAACTCCCAGAAGGCCATAGGTTGATCTATCCTTGATCTAAATGCATGAAAGCAGTGTCTGATAGGTAGAGGAGGTAAACTGTATTTTCATAATTGCCCAATCAGGATTGCCTCAGTTCTGTATTTTGCCCAAGTCTGATAGAGCTTTAGATGTGAGGCAGTGTTACCAATGGAGGACATTTGTGGGAACACAAAATATGTCTGGGAAAAGAGGCAGCATAACAGAGGGACAACACCCAAGCAACAGAGACCAAAACAAATGAATAAGGTCAGAGTGAAATGATGAAGAGGAAGCTCAGTGCCTTTCAAGACTTGCTCTTGCTCAAAGTGGCCTTAAATTTTGAAAATTACTGTTCAAAACTATGACTATATAATTCAGATTACAGAAGCCCTGATGAGCATTTAAGCTTCTCTCTCTTTTTTTTTGATAGGGTGAAAACTTTTTATTGAAAAGAACACATGGGGCATATCTATATAATGTATTATAATACGTTTTACTTACATGTTATCTTTATTTTGGTATTCGTTTTGCACCACTGAGTTTGTGAAGTTATCTTACATAGCACTTAAA